GGCTGCTTACTCTGTCAAAAGGGAATTGATGAATCTGAGAGGCGAGTTTGCTGAAAAAATCCTTTTAGGTCTGATTGCATTTCTTTGGAAGTTTTTGTAAATGTCTTTGATATTAGAGCTCCTTCAGAAATGACACGATAAGTAGGAACTGAATAATTATGTTAAAACTCCTAACAATAATCAGTGATGAAACTTTCTTCGTGGTTGACTAGAGATGTTACAATTTATGTATTATCATTAGTGTCTCGACTTACTCTGTTTGGCCGTTGTGTGTAGGGGAGGGAGGACCTCTAGAATGACACTTTTCCCTTTTCACTTCTACATTTATCCTCCGCGGATGCCTTTCGGTTAGCGTAATAATAATAATAATAATAATAATAATAATAAAGATATATCAGTACCCAATACCCACAACATATCTGGAAAATATCAAGAGAAGATCCAGAAGTATACCGATCTCTCCCATGAAGTCGCAACTCAGTGGAAATTCAGTAAAGTGACAACTGTGCCTATTGTAATATCAGCTACAGGAGTGATCCCGAAAATGACACTTTGGGCACTGGAGTGACATCACTTGGATGTCAGGAATGTAGTATACAATATGAAAAAGTTAGTAATCGTGAATACATGCCGTATTGTCAGAAGCCATCTGAATCTTCAGTAAAGCAACCATACACCTGGTCATCATTCTTGTGTGTGGTTGACATACTGACCAGTAGATATTGATAATACTAAAATAATGATAATATTAATAATAATAATATTAATAATAATAATAATGATAATATTAATAATAATAATAATAATAATAATAATAATAATAAGCTGGCCCGATGGCGCAGCCGTCGCGTTGTTTGTGACGAAGAGGATGCGGATTCGCGTCCTGCGTAGGCATAGTCGAATTTGTGATTTCTCTTTCACCCCTCCTCTATCACCCCATAATTCATAATTCAAGGCGTAACAATCTTGTCTTACTCAGCGATACAGCCGAAAAAAATTGATCCCCATAATAACACGTTAATACCTCCGGGATAAATATTACTAGGCCTCGGAAGATTCTGTGTAGGGTGGTTATACGTGGCCGATAGGAAATTAATAATAATAATAATAATAATAATATTAATAATAATAATAATAATAATAATAATAATAATAATAATAATAATTGCATTTTAATAATGATTATTGTCTTGTTTGTGGCGAGGCACAAAAGTCATATGGCCTGCTCCTTCGTCTCACCACTTAAATGAATTACATTATACAAACATTACAATCAAAGTGATCGGGCGCAAATAATGTTAAATGGCATTTCACGTTACAGAGGAAAGTACAATCTGATATTACCATTTGCATAAAATACGGACGCGTCGAAACGCAACGCTTTCTAAAGGATATCCATCCATAACCTGGTTGGGGTCGCCTCGCCAGCCACCATCGACCTATTATCCTGGCTAGTAATATAGTTCGCTACTCGCATCCGTTGAGACGAATTTCAACTAATATTATACCAAAAAATAACGAGCACTGACGCAACGAAGCCAAGAGTCGCACTAGGAGCCACGCTGGTTGATCAAACTTAGGAAGAGGGCATTAATCCTCCGACCCTTCTCTCACTTTGCCCTCCTTGACAGTAACAATGCGAGTCACACTAAAAAATTGCGTACTCGGGAGTTTCTAATGTCCGGCCAGAACTTCTGTTTGTGAGACGGAGGTCCGAAACGCGCCTAGTAATTCAGCCAATGTTGAGATTAACCAATGGATGTGGTTCCAGAGTCTCAAAATTACATTTGAAAACAAAAACAAAGACGTGCAGAGATGAGAATGTGAATGTCTGGATATGTTTGCCACACGTCCTACGCAGCAATGGTTTGCGTGCTCTCCCTCCTGTAGATGCAACCCTCACTACATCTACGGAGCATCAGCAACTACAGAGTTACACACTTAATTTCTCAATTATTCAATTTTTACTCTGTCACTCAGTGTCGCCATTAGAGTAAAGATAAATTTACACGGCCGGGGAGACGACAGAAACGTTGTTAACTATTGAATTGAATTGAATTTGCCTTATTTTACGTGGCGAGACTCGGGCCATCAGGCCCGCTCTTCCGTCTGACCACGCAAATTTCGCTACGCTCCTTTCACCAACTAGGAGAGAAAGGAGGTATTTCTTGGGCGAGAAACAGGCGATTTTTGAATTTAGCTCAGAGGCATCATTTAGGCTTGAGGATCTTTTACATGCAAGTAAATCTACGAACATGGGACAGCCGGCTTTACTTCCCCTCCGAAGGAAGGCGTACGAAGGATTTTTTCGCCCTTAAAAATCCACGGCTTCGATCGGGTTTGAACCCGCCAACTTGGGTACAACAGTCCAGTACGCTAACAGTTACACCATCGCCGCCGCTATAGTTCAATGACTATAGTTCAATGACGTTCTAGCGAACTATAGTTCAATGACGTTCACGATTAAAAGGTGTTGTCGGCTATTCATTAGTTTCATGTCGGATAGTGTAATACACATCGAGACGGTATGTATGTAAAAGTGACATAATTAGTACCTATTTATTGATTTTTTCAATTCAGCTACTGAATCATTAGTTCTATTAGTGTGTGTTAGTGAATGCATTATATCCAGGAAAATAGTGGTATTCCTCCGCTGGAAAATGAAGTTGAAAAGGGACTTGCGAAAGTCCTTACTTACACACACCTACACCCACATGCACTACACTATCAGACTTGTCGGAAGACCGGTCGCAAGCATAGAGCTTGCCCAGGTGGGGCCGTGCGTCGCTGCTGGGGGAGTAGGGGTTGGTTGAAGGAAAATCTCTGCCTCTCAGCGGGGGAAGATCACTACCATCTCCCACGATGAAAATATAAACTACACTTACGGATCTAATGACCTTGGCAGTTGACGCACCCGAATCACTAATGAACCAATCGAAAAATGACTAGACTTCTACTAAGTTAATGCCATAGTGTTAAGATCACCCAAGGCCAACTAGAAGCGAAGACCTCCTCTTGCGCCGAATCACATGACAAAAAGTGCTTGGTAGGAAATGCAGCTGTCCAAGCGGAGTACTCTCCGCAGTTTCAGACAGAGACGTATTCATTAAAATTGCATGTAAACGCGTACTTGTTTTATATAACACGACGAAACGAAACATTAAGCCTTAGTATGACTATTCTAGATGGCTTCGGTTTACCTCAACTATTTCTTAACATACACAGAATATTTCGCACCTGAAGAAAAGAAGAGGCAGTTTTGAAATGATAGCAGTCGACTTTATAAATTCTTATTTTTGAATCCGGATGCGCAGAGATTATTTATCGATTGAGTTGGCTCAGGTCATCAATTACTGTCATTTCAGTGCCTCTGATCGGGAGGTCACGAGGTCGAGTCTGGACGGGGGGAGGCTTTTCGACACTGGCTAGAGAACTAAGTAGAATTCAAGCGGCTGAATGTTCTGATGGGTATTTTTGCATGGTGTCTCTGATCAATACAAGGCGAATGCCGGAGAAGTTCTCTAACAAAGGGCCACGGCCCGCCGCCATCTTACTCGCCACGTAAAATAAGGCATTAATTCAATTCAATTACTCATTTGTTCTCTCTCTTACAGTTACATGCACTACACTACCACACTTGTCGGGAGCTTAATCTTGTTCTGGCTGGGGTTCTACTGGTGGGAAGTAACTGGTTGAAAAGAACTCTGCTAGCAGACGTGTATGTCAACGCCGGATCTCACTATGCAGGGGGAGAAAGAACATCGCCACCTCTCGTGATAAAAAAACGCACTAGATTAATTTAGTCAAAAAAATAGTAAAAACTGTATGTGGGAGAAGGAATATGGGAGAGAAGATTAACTGCGTACGTTTTCTTGAGTCCCAGAATCCCCTCCCGTCATTTTAACTATAAATAGTTGAAAGTGAGTAAAAGTTTAAAATAAATAAATAAAAATACATTTTAAAAAAGCGCGAGATTATCAATTTTTGAAAAAAATTGACATTTTCGTTTCCGAGTTATAGAAAACTTACTTGCGTCGGTAAACGAATTGCAAGTATGATTTGTTTGCATTGCTAACAAAATAGTAACTCGTCCTTACCTCTACTTCTACCATGACAAGAAAAACGAGAGTTTAACAAAACGTGCGTATAGTGAAGATACATTTACGTCCAGAAGCAAAACAAGGGGTCATTTCAGCAATTGCTCAATGGATCAGGGAAACTGGACAAAAACATTATCGAGATGGGATTACAGATTACATCGAGATGGAATCACTACATTACAGAACTAATGACTATATTAGTTGACGCGCCCAGAAACACGATATAATCAATCAATCAATGAATCACAGCTAATTTTGAAATTTTCACGGAAATGGAAATACAATAATTCATTATACAATAATTCATTATAAAATAATAAAATGGAAATATCAACCGTTGAGCAGATGTGACTAATGCAATAACCGAATTTATTTGAAAGAGATAATGGATTGTATTGATTTTCTGCATAACCACACGCGATAAGGAAAACGTTTTGTGTGGATTACATGTCATAGAGTACTCTTTCACTCAAGAAACTATCGAATTTCAATAAAAAGCATTATTAAAACAGTATTAATTTATCTTTTATATTTATAATTCCAATTAGATAAGCCCACCCTTTACATTATTATTATTGTTGTTTGTTAAATTGACTTTCATATTTTGCAATGAAAGTATGTACTTGTAAGTAATTTATATTCTAAAAATGGAATAGTCGTTTTTGTTCTATCGTACAGAGTTAATATTATAAAATATTAAATCGTGAAACATATAATAAATATCTTGAAATGATATTGAGCCGAAAATTAATTTGTAATAGTGCGTATGTTTAGTTTTCAGTTTATGTAATAAAATTTAAATATTTTGACGAATCATTCCAAGTTTAAAATATTTTGAAAGTTGCATATTTTGTGGTTTCTTCTTTATAAGTTATTAATTTGTGGTTTTCTCTGTTTCAGATGAAGAAGTCAAAAAAACCCTCATATCTAATGTTAAGAGAGAGGTAAGCATGTATACTCACTATAATATAATATACAAAAAATGTCGTCTCCAATAAATATGTTGTTTAATAGATGTGCTCCGGACCCTCCACTTAATATACTTGCACTAGATCCTCCGCTTGATCGTTGTTTTCAGATCCCTCCGCTTGATCGACTTGATCCAGTTCCTCCACTTGATCAGCAATCTCTGGATCCTTCACTTTTTTGCATTTCTCTCGATCCCATAATTGATTGATTTGCCTAGGATCCTCGTTTTGATTGTCTCATTCAATCAATATTCATACTTTTTAAATTTTGGATAAAATTATGAAATCTTTTTTTATATATTTCATTATGGCGGACCTAAATTAATGTAGAACTGAAAAACAGAAAAATATAAATTATAGTGAGGGATAACTGTATATAATCTTGTATATTATTATTACAATAATAATATTGGTAATTATTATTATTATTATTATTATTATTACTTTAATTATGAGTTAAAACATGACATTCTTTCTCAATTTCCCTCATATCTTAAATTGTAAAATAAATATCTTCAATTGTTAAAAATAAAAAAAAGGTCTTATATTTTGAGGATAAATGTAGTTTATTTAAAATAGTGTTTTGCAACCCAATAACCTATAACAGCGTAATGTGTAATTCTGAATGTTGTGGCAGGAACAACGAAATTAGGGTAATAACACACTAACTCTGACGAAAATAGAGGTTCCTATTGTGTTTCATCAAAATAAATTAACAACACATTCAAACACGCCTACTTCAAAATGAGAACAACGAACTGAAATGTGTTAGGGAGTGAGATCCTCGATGATTAAAACAAATCAACAACAATGTTTAGACCCGCTCTCTCCACCAAATGAGTTGAATAGAAATCCTACAAGGGGAAAGGCTCCCCTCGCATGAAGAAACCATAGAAATATGTCCACTTGTTTTCTACAAGTTGGGCGTATTCTCGGAAGGGGCCAGTTGTTCCTTCTAAACAGTCGTGATTTGGCAACTGAACACCAAATAACTTAACCGACAAAGGTGGCTCAGGGCATCAACTGATGTCACTGAAGTGTCTCTAATCGGGAAACCTAGACTTCGAGTCCCGACGGTGGCAGGATTTTCAATACTAGCTGGACAGCCGCTGCCTGGAGGAGAATTCTAGCGACCGGCTGCTTTGACCGATCGATTTCCGTGGTTTCTCCGATCAACACCAGGCGAAAGCCGGAACCGTACCCTGACAAACGGGTTGCATACCGCGCGCAATCTTTCTTTTCCCTAACGGTCCTATCCTTACTACTTACTCACATACTTACATGCTCTACATTATCACAAATGGTGACTATGAAACCGGACGTCGCAGTGACAGTGAAGTAAAATAGGTTTCTGTGGCAAAACAAACTTGCGATGTAGATGCTGAGTGCGTAGAAAACTGACGGAACGTCTTTTGATGACCATCCACCAACAATCCAAGATTGTCAAGCCCCATCTCATACCATTTATCGCCACCGCAACGAGGTACATAATGAAGTGGTACAGATTTAAGAGGGAGTCGGGCATGATTAGGTTTGCTGACCCGTGGTTGTATCGCTTCAAATAAGGAGTCGTACCAATAGCATCGCTTACTCAAGAATTGACGGCTTTACTTTTGCACTCTATTTAACACACATCCTGTATGAGGGGAAATAGAGAATCGAAGAAAATAACGCCCCTCCCTTCATAATAAGTGAAATAGATTTGATTTACGAGGCAAACTCGCGCTATAAATGCTGAGTGCGAAGATTTTCGTGGCTTCTTTTGTTCACCCTCCACCAACAGTTGAGTTTTGTCAAGCCTTTCTTACGCCGGTTGTATCCGCACATATGTCACCACCGCTACCAATTTCATCGTCTACACAATGGATCACAACAGATAAACGAGCGAGCCAGGCTGCAGAAGCTTTACTTGCCCGTAGTTGGCTCGCTTAAAATATATGGTGCGCCCAAAAGGAAACCTTAACCGTAGCGGCGAAGTACCAACTCCCCGTAAATGTAGTGGAAAGCGTTAGATGGCGCGATTTTTCCCGGTTGTACGGGCGGAGAGAAGGGCGTCGCAGCGATTGCCTCAGTTCGGTCGCGTTGTTTCCAAGGGCCGTTGCATGATGGATGCCGCGAGAGCCACACAAAGAGCAGAGATCCAATTTCTTGGCGCAAAAGGGCAGCATGCGAACCACATCTATGGCAGGATGCACGCGGTGAATGGCGAGCGGTGACAGCTTTGTGCAGCGGGTCGCATGAAGGATTTGCCACGCCCGGGGCCGCCGCTCGTTGTGGCCAACAGCGCCACGATTGCGGTTGTGAATGAGCTCATGCGGCAGACTCGTCAGATCACCACACGTGAGCTGGCGATAAGCACAGGAACGCTGCATCACATCATCCACACAAAGCTGAGGTGTGCTCGAGATGACCCTCGCGCTCCTTGTGAAGTTTCACTGGAGCATCCTCTTTACAGTCCCGATAACTCCCGATGCGACTCCTATATTTTAGGCCGTTTAAAAAAAATTTGAAGGTCATAGATTCACCCGCGACGAGGTCGTGCAAGCCACCGTAGAACAGTGCATCCGGCAGCAACGTAGGATTATTTACATGCAAGCCATCCTCTCACTTTCTACGCACTGGGATAAGTGTATGAATGTAAATAGTAGTTATTTATAGGTAGACAATTCCAAATGAAACATAATTCGTATGTTGGCATTGAAGTTACTTTCCATATTACTGTAGTCTCATTTTCATTTGGCTTATTTTCATTCAGCTTATAGTTTTACAAGTAGCATCACTGGCTTGGAAAGCGTTGCTTTGGCAGTCTGTTTGAGACACATCCTGTATGAGGAAAAAAGAGAATCCAAGAATACACCGCTGCCCTCTTCATAATAAGTGAAATAAGTTCGTGCTGCGAAATAAAGTTGCGCGGCGGAAGTTGCGTGTGCGGCGGGGCGGA